GTTGAAACAGTGGTGTTGTTTTCCCTATGTACGTTTCTAGCTTCTATTAAAATTCAATTGTGTATAGCTCTGTGAATATACATGTGGTCCTTCATGTCTGGTTTGTAAACTACCTCCATGGTTTTTTTCCCTATAATTTGTAATGAAATTTGAGGTCAGTGATTATAGTACCTGCTGCAAATGCTTCATTACTCTGGATCATTCTCCTTTCAAATTCTGTAGAGAATTGTGTACAAATTTTGGTGTGGGCTGCACTAAATCTGGATATTGCCTTTAGGAAGATGAATATTTTCATTATATTAATCCTACCTATCCACACATATGAGACACATCTTAATCTTACACTATTTTCTTCATTATTTTTGTTCAAATACTTGAGGATTTTATCATTTAAGTCTTTCATTTGCTGATGAAACATACAGCTAGTATAACTGGAAACACCACATGTCATTCTTCAATATTTATGAAGCAACCTGGATATTCTGTGAATCAAATTTTCAACAAAAATTGTCATTATCATGTATTTTTTCCTTTGTGTCTTCTCTGATACATGACAGAAACAAAGGATATAATGCAGAGAAAAGAAATTTGAAATCAGGATGGTGACACTGGAGGACAATGGTTTGGATTTTCTCAAGTGTCATCTATCCATCACTATTGCAGTAAACTCTCACTTCACAATTATACCAAGATCATTTTAAATGTGTTATTTATTTATGGAACTCTAAATTTTCATGAATATCCTTATAGAATACAGCCTGGAGTTACCCAGTTTTCTTCACATTTAGAATCGTGGTATTGACACACATGACAAGATTAATCCCAAATTACTCTGGCAATTTTGGTATTTTGCAAACAAAGACCTTCTAGATCTTAGGGTTTCCAAACAAAAGCTGATTGCTATTTTTGTCATTTTTTTTTACTTAAAAAATAAGTTTCTGACCCATGCTCATGTGCACAGCACAGCTCAACATCCTCTCTCATATAATACATTTAAATCAGTTTTGTTTCCTCCACTCTTCCTAGCACCAAACATACACCTCCCCCCTCTGACCAGGAATTTTAGCTCTGTTTCATAAAACAAGTAAGCAATGCAGATCTTCTGGTCTCAATTCTGCTGTCCAGCAAAGCTGAGTCCTAGAAACATGATTGAGGTTACTAGAATTAAAGAAATAACAGAAACTACAAAAATAACAAACACATGTACAGAAAATTTTTTCGAGTTAGGCTGTATTTATTCTGATGATAGTCACATAGTAACCAACCGAGAATCTCTTGAGTATTTATTATGTACCAAGAAGGACGAGGGTTGGCTAGTTTGGGTGGGAGATTTCTGTAATGGAGCAACTTTGGGCTCATACAAAAGGAATATGTGGTTGATAATTCTTGCATGTGTACAGGTTTTACATGAAGGCTGATTATTCATTAGCATGCCTTCTTAGAACATGGAAAAGCTGGCATTTACATTTTCTATACAGACTGAAGTCTTTACCATTCCCTTTGTTGTGAGGCACTGGGGAACTTAACATGAGCATGTCTGTTTCCACAGTGCAAATTCAGTCAGGATTTCTTGCACTCTCAAAAGTATTATTCAGTTTATTCTGGTAAGTGTGGCTGGAATGGGAACATACCAACAAGTATCTGTTCTGTTTCTGACTTGTTTGAAGGTTTACATGGTGTCCTGAACCAAGTACAGTGCCATCCTTATGGGTGTGGTCTGATATTTATTAGTAGTATACATCAGAATGATGCTGTCAAATGAACAGGGCACAGAGAAACCATTTTCCTGAAAAGACTCAGGTAATCATCCTAGTACTTATTGCTCAAACTTGAAATAATTTTCAACAAGATAAAATTCAAAAAGATCTTTCCCTTTGACAGTTCCTTTTCTTTAGTGGTGGGTGGTACATAATTTATTTCTCTCTTTTTTTATTGGATAGTTTATTTATTTACATTTCAGATGTCATCTCCTTTCCCATTTTCCCTCCCTAGAACCCCCTATCCCATATGCGCTCCTCCTTTTTGCTTTTATACCATTTTAATTACATGCAACTATTAAGGTCAGTTCTAGGTTGAGGGACTAGCAATACAATAGATGCAAGTAGCTGAGGAACAAGATAGACTGTGAACACAAATAGTCAAAGAATAAAGAAGGCAATAAACAAAATTCCTTTAACACTCCTGTGATCACTGTTTCTAAGGGCTTATCTAAACCTTTATCAGTTTTAGTCAGCATTTCCCCTTAAAACCATCCAGGTTTCTATGAATGCAGAAACAGAGGAACTATTGACACTGTATTCTGATTCTTTGGGTGACAAACAAGCCTTTTTCCTTTGATACAGCTCCCTGTAAACCTGATTAAAATTCCCTATATTGCATTGAAAAATTTAAAAATAAATGTAAAATTGGGATTCTAAATATAAGGATGTACTCCAGCAATTCCTTGGTAGAAGAGCATTAAACTTAATGATAGTAGGACCCAGCTGAGAAACAAGAGGAAGTAAATGGGAAGAACAGAAAACAACAAGTATAAAAAGAAAGGGAATACATGAACTTTTGTATTATAAAGCACATGTTCTACAAGACTAGGTTCCAAAGAATTCCAACTGAGCTGCAATTGTAAGAAAAGTGGCTCCTGACATTCTAGCCTTCACAACATAAAGATAAAATGAGTGTGCCTTGCCAAAATTAGCTATTGAAAATATAATCTAAGTTTCTTCTGCTTCTATCTTGGGATTAGGGACAAAAGACACCAAATAAAATCTATATTGCTGGCTATCTCTTAAGTACTTTTAAGTCACACAGTGTTTGAGGATTTGGTTCTGCAGT